TACAAATATGGCTAGACCAGAGGATGTACACTGGTACAGACAGGAACTGGAAACAGGGAATCCAGGGCGGATGATCCCTTCAGGACCAGTGCTGAGAGTGGAGATACCGGGAGGGAGGAGGGAAGCTGGGATAGAAAGGGGGAACCAATTACAAAGATCTACATACAACCCCCTCCCCGGGGGACAGACAACATAAAAGTGGGTGAAGGGAGACGTTGGACAGTGTAAGGTATGACAATGTAATAATTTATGAATTGTCAAGGGTTCATAAGGGAGGAGAGAGTGGGGAGGGAGGGAGAAAATGAGAAGCTGATGCCAAGGGCTTAAGTGGAGAGCAAATGTTTTGAGAATGATGATGGCAACGAATGTACAAATGTGCTTGACACAACGGATGTATGTATGTATGGATTGTGATGAGTTGTATGAGCCCCCAATAAGATGATTTTTTAAAAAAAAAGCCCTGTAGAATACAGGTCTACTCTGCGTACATAGGATGCCATGGGTCAGAATGGACTCTATATCTATCCTGCCAACAGCAGGAGCCCAAGAGCACTATTAAGCAGGGTACAATTTTCTGGCTTTGTTTCTCAAAACTGGGTACATAACTGTGTGATTCTGGGTCACCCTGAGGCACACAGAGTGATAGAAACCATGACATATTTTTTAAAGCATCATTCAAAAAAAGTTTTTATAGTGGGGTGGTTTAAAACTAGCATAGACAGATATGACACATGAAAAAACTCACTGCTGCCGTTGATTCTGACTCATAGTGAGCCTGTAGGTCAGGTAGAAGGTCCCCCCTATGAGTTTCTGAGATGGCAACTCCTTTCCTCCCCCTCCCAGGAGTTTTATTGGCACTTCGTCTACATGTCATGATTGTAACTCTTCAAGTGAGTAGAAAGCCCCATCTTTCTCTCATGGCACATGAGAAAAATGTGAAGTTGAAATTTCACCCATAGAGCAGGCTGTTACGGTCTGTTAGGCCAGACTGAGGAGAGAAAGAAATCCTGTGACACTCATATATGTAAGAAATATTTTTCTATCAAGAGGTAATTATAGATCAGGAAAACAGCTCAGCCCCTGCTAACTCAAGTCCGTAAGTCTGGTACTAGTCCATAAGTCCCTCTTCAGACTCACAGTCACAAGCAATGATACAGAATCCAGGAAGATCCCAGGTTGGTGGAACCAATGGCAGTGGCCACAGGCAGGGCCCTGGCAGAAATCAGGGTCAGCCAGCAGGAAGGTGAAGGGAGAAAGAGAGAAGTGGAGGTTCCCAGGGTCTTCCTTATGCGGCCACGCCCACAAGGAGGTCCCATTGGTCTGTAACCTGATTGAAAGGTGAAGACCACCCCAACACTTTTATAGATCTCCAAGTTGATGTGAAATGATGTAACCACCGCAGGGTCCTATAACTTTCCTCCGTCTTGCTTCTAAGTGGCTGTGAATTAGTAGGTGTTAGAAAAATATCTATTTAGCATTTGACAAGTGCTAGCCAGGAGCCACAATGGTTAGGTGCTCGGCTAACGAAAAAGGTCAATGTTTTGAATGATGGCGCAATGGGATTGCCTTCTGGATCTTCTAACTCCTGCCAAATGACTGGGTGGGGCCAGGCTAATGAGGGGCTTGCAAGCCATCAAGGGGATTGGATCACTCGCTAATGATGCAAATATGATGTATGGAACCCTAATGAGAGAATTGGTCAGTTTTGTCATCCTATTAGGCTAAAGATAAATCATTCTAGAGGCAGACGGGGTGGAGGTGGGGGTACCTTTGGACCCAGATTCTCTGTGCTGAGACCCTCCTAGACTCAGGAGATGGAGAGAGCATGTTGTGACACTGGAGAGAGCGAGAGAGCAAGAAGCTGAATCAGAGAGTGTAGAACAAGGAGCCTGGCAAGAGATGGTGCGGTGGTTTGCCCGGCACACACGGTTAAGAAAGCTGAGCACCATTCAGCAGGGGGCTTTCTGGTGAAGCGGGTACTTTAGAGCCCGTGACAGATCTAGAGTCACCACAATGATATGATTTTCTGTTCTTTGATGCCGGATACCTGATCCCATCGACCGTCATGATCACACAGGCTGGTGTGCTTCTTCCATGTGGGCTTTGTTGCTTCTGAGCCAGATGGCTGCTTGTTTATCTTCAAGCCTTTAAGACCCCAGACGCTGTATCTTTTGATAGCCAGGCACCATCAGCTTTCTTCACCACATTTGCTTATGCATCTGCTTTGTCTTCAGTGATCGTGTTGGGAAGGTGAGCATCATGGAATGCCAGTTTAATAGAACAGTGTTCTTCATTGAGGGAGTACTTGAGTAGAGGCCCAATGTCTATCTGCTACCTTAATACTAGACTTATAAACAGATGCATATAGATCTATTTCCCCATCGTCACATATAAATATATTTACATTTGTCCATGCCCATATTTAGACCTCTACAATGCCCTTTGGGGGGCAGGGTTATTCTCACTGCTGGAAGAATTGGCAACGCAGACTGAAGAGCAGAACCTGGAAGAACAGCAGGACATGGGGGCAGGGAACATCACTGGAGGTCAGGTGGATCTTAGTCACAAGCAGGGAATACCAGGAAGATGGTTATCTGTGTTACACTGACTCTGCAAAGGCATTCAGCAAATTATGAACAACACTGCAAAGCCTGGGAATTCCACAGCAGTTAACTGTGCTCATGTGGAACCTGTCCAACCGTATGCCAAGAGACAATCATTGCAACAGAACAAAGGGAAACGGCCTGGTTCACATAAGCCTGGTCTCCTTCCACCATCCTTGTTCAACCTGGGTCCGTATGAGCAGATCATACAAGAAGTTGGATTACAAGAAGACGGATGTAGCATCAGGATTAGAGGAGGACTGTTGACAACCTGACATGCAGATGAATCAGCTTTGCTCGTTTTGAGTGATGAGGACTTGAAGCACCTACTGATGAAGATCAAAGACATCACAACAGACCCAAGAGACAGCACAGTTTCATTTTACTTGGATCCACAATCAACAGCCATGGAAGGAGAAATCACGAAACCAAATCACAGTCCATTGGGCAAATCTGCTTCCAGAAACGTTTTTTTTTTTCTTTTATTTTCTTTTTTAACATTTTATTAGGGGCTCATACAACTGTTATCCCAATCCATACACACATCAATTGTGTAAAGCGCATTTGTACATCGTTTCTCAAAACATTTTCTCTCCATTTAAACCCCCGACATTAGGTCCTCATTTTCCCCCTCCCTCCCCACTCCCCCCTCCCGAGAAACGTTTTTTAAGACATCAAAAAGCAGAAACGCTCTCTTGGAGACTAAGGCCCACCTGACGAGAAGCCATGGGGTTGGCGTGTTCAGGCGTCTCACAGGCATCTGAAAGCTGCACAAGGAACAAGGACGGACAAAGAAGAACTGATGCCTTTGCACGAGGATGTCTAGGAACTCCTAGGAGAAGGAACACAGCGGTCATGGGGTCATGGAAGATGTATGCCTGTCACATGTCTGAAGATGCGACCATCAAGCCTCAGGGCAGCCAAACTCTGGGGTTCTAGCTCAGGCACGCACGCACGCAGACCCATGCATGCACAAGGGGCTAGAGAAGCACAGGGCAGGATGGGGAGAGGGACCCGGCTGACCAAGGACATGCCACCAACTGGAAACTGGAGGACTCGGAAAACTCTGCTGCTGCAGGTTGAGCAAAGGTCAACGTTCAAACAATGGCGGAGCACAGGACAAAGGGGAGGCTCAGACAATGGGGCTGGGCAGCTGTGGAAGGGTAGATGCAGAGGGAGTTTGGGAAAGCAGCCTCCTAAGGGAGGTTCTGCCTTATTTGGAATTCAGATGGCCAGAGGTCCTGTGACTTTTGAGCATGAAGAAAAGTCTTGTGTCCTCTCCCAAAGGCAGAGAGAAATCACAAACGTCCACCCTTCAGCCCTGGCCCTTGCCACTCATATGGACAGACGTTGCCCAAGTGGCCCCAAAAGACATGACCTCCACACATGCAAATGAGGCCCAGCCAAGGGCCAAGCATCGAAAGCCTCAAGGACTCTTCTTGGTAGAACCAGAGCCAGAGAAGCCCACCACAGGGGCCATCTCCTCTCCTCCAATGTCAAGTCCTCCTCAGGCCTCATTTTCTACCGTCTTCTCCTTCTGTTTCTCTTTCTTGCAGGCGTTGGCCGATTCCTCCTCGTCTCTGAGCTCCTTTATCCGTTCCTTGAAATCACCATCTTTCTGCTTCTCTTCCAACTTCTTGTTGACTTCAAAGCGTTCCTCCTCCTGGTCCAGGGTGGTCCGTTCCACTGGCACAGACAGCCCAGGTGTTGTGGACGTTTCTTTCCACCGATGTGACCCAGGAAGTTGCTGGCGTCCTTCACCACGCAATCGCAGACGCTGCAGGAACAGTCTCCAAACTCAGACTGGGTGGTCTTGATAATGACACCTGTCTTCCCAAGCTTGGCGTCCAGGGCCGCCTTGCAGTCGTCCGTCCGCGGCAACAGTTCCCGCTGGACGGGCGGCACTGGTTTTCCAAATTTCTTTTCGCTCGCTTCCGTGAGCCTCTTCTCGGCAAGCTTCTCGTATTCCCCTTTGTCTCCCTTTCGGCCAAAGTCCAAGTTGTCCGTCCTCCCGCCCGACGCCCTCTCCGCGCCCAGGAATGGGACGCCCGGGCAGCGACCGTCGACGGAGGCGGGCGCTCGGGTCCGATTCTGCGCGGAACAGAGCGGAGGGCAGAGCTTCCGGTCGCGGACCGCGACATCCAATCAGGTGCGTGGAGGGGCGGGGTCTGCGCGCCTGCTCGGCGGACCGGAAGTGAGGTTGAGGAAGTAGATGAGCTTGTGCGCGTTTCCTGTCCGCGACTCTGCGGCTGTAGGGGCAGCTGTCACGCCTCCTCGGGAAGATGTTCTACCACGTGAGCTCGGCGCCGGGTGGGGCCCTGGGTAGAGCAGGGGAGGGGGTCCACATCTCGCCCCACATCCCCGCCACCCCTGCGCGGGTCACCATCCCACCTCCGTCCCCCCAGATCTCCCTGGAGCACGAGATCCTGCTGCACCCGCGCTACTTCGGCCCCAACCTTCTCAACACGGTGAAGCAGAAGCTCTTCACCGAGGTGGAGGGGACCTGCACCGGGAAGTAAGAGTCGCGTCCTCTGCGCCACCTGATTGTGCCCTGTGCCTGCCGCTCCTCGGCCCAACCGCGGCCGGCCACCCGCTCTGGGAAGCCCCCAACCCTCCCGGGCGCCCCGGCCAGTGCTTTGCCTGTTGGGTCCGTTGCCAACTGGATAATGGGCATTTTTCTGCATTCCGCTGAGATGGGTGGTTTATGTCCTTATTTCTTCAGCTCCTGCTGCGTGCCCGTGGGGGAGCGCACAGCCTAAGCCTTGTTCTCTGCAGGTTCCCCCCCTCCCCGCCGTGCCCAGGGAAGATTCACAGTCTCGACAACTCGTCAAGGATCAGTTCTAGTCTGCCTTAGCCGGTTATTTTGAGTTAGGCTTGGGGTTTGGTTTGTACCCAGGGACCTGACGGGGCACTTCTTGGGCCCCTGGATGTTTGTGAAGGAATGAATGACCAGGACAAAGCAGACAGACTTTGGAGGCGGCATGCAGGAAAGACCTGGTGCTTATGCTTCTCTGGGCACTGTGGAGCAGGGCTGGACCTGAGTTCAGGACAGTGCAAGTCCTGGCCCTTCATTAGGAGAATCACTTGAGTGCTTCTGGAACATGCTGGATTCTGAGCCTCCTCCTGACCCTACAGAATCAAGACTCGTGACCAGAATCCACAGCCCATGAATCCATTCTGACTCCTGGCTTTATAGGACAGAGTAGATGTGCCCCTCTGGGGATGTAGTGAGTTCCTCTTCAGCGATGCTGAAGTTTGCGATGTCTTGAATCAAAAAGAAGACCCCTGGTGGAGAAACGGAGCTATAAAACAAACTAACAAACTCACTACTAACCCTATAGGACAGGGTAGAACTGCTCTTAAGGTTTCCCAATGGGACCAAGTATCTTTCTCCTAGACCACTGATGGATTGAACCTCCAACCTTGCAGTCAGCATCCCAATGTTGAGCCCACTGTCCCCCAGGGCTCCTCTCAAGGACTGCAGCCTTAATGGTGCCTTCGAGCTGCTTCAGGTGTTTCCCGCCTGGTCATTCATTCTGGGGACAGGACTGCCCCACCCTGCCCTGCCAGGGTCAGTGACTTGTTTGCAGGTAGCTTAAGAGGTTCTTCCACTCACAGTGTCTTTCTCACCCTCTTTGAAGGTACGGCTTTGTCATTGCTGTCACCACCATAGACAATATTGGTGCTGGGGTGATCCAGCCTGGCCGAGGTTTTGTCCTCTACCCTGTTAAGTACAAGGCCATTGTGTTCCGACCCTTTAAAGGGGAGGTCGTGGATGCCATCGTCACACAGGTCAACAAGGTGAGAGAACCTTGGGGAGGCAGCGGACTGGCCCTTCTACAGATCTGGGTTCGGAAGATCTGGGCCCTGACCCACTTGCTAACTATCTTAACTGAGTTATTCATACTGTCTCCTCCCTTCTCACATGAAATGACCCTCCCCTCCTGCCCTGCCCTCTGTGGGGGCGCCTGTTAGTTAGTAGTGATAGTCACCAGGATAGTAGCTTGCTTGATTGAATAGTTCCCAGGAAGGGGTTGGGGGGCAGCGCCGCAAGGACCCCTTGGGGTGGAGGCTTTTATTCCTTCCCACACTCTGCTAGAAGCTCGGTCTTAGGAAAATGGCATGTTCTGGTCACAGCAAGTGGAAATGTGATGTCCAAAGCCAGGGCTGACGAGCGCCAGGCCTCAGCTCTTGGTGACGATTGTTTGCTTCAAGTGAAAGATTCAAACCGACAAAAGCAGCACAAAGGCAGTGTGCACACGAACGCAATGTTTTAGAGTGGTTTAAAGACACAAAGACTGAGGCGGAGACAGGTGGGTCTCGGAAGAGACCTGAGGGGACAAAGTAAGAAAACCGATCACTCACTTCCCCTCCAGGTAGGACTCTTCACAGAAATTGGTCCCATGTCGTGCTTCATCTCTCGCCATGTAAGTCTAGGGGGCCCGGCAGGGGGGTAGGGGTGCGGCAGCTCTCAGACGCCCCGTCCATCTGTTGAAGCTTCTGTCTAAACTGCGGAGCTCCTTCACTTCCCTTTCAGTCCATCCCTTCGGAGATGGAATTTGTGCCCAACTCAAACCCGCCGTGCTACAAAACTGTGGACGAGGTGAGTGGGCAGGAGGGGGCCGTGGCAGAAGGGAGGGGAGCAGGAGGAGCCGCCCGGAGGGAGGGGTGGGGTGGTTGGCTCCTGACCCCGTGGCCCTGACTTCTCTTCAGGACATTGTGATTCAGCAGGATGATGAGATCCGCTTAAAGATTGTGGGCACCCGGGTGGACAAGAACGACATTGTGAGTCTCCGGTTTGCCTCCCTGTTGTGCGGTCAGAGCGGGGAGCTCCGGGTGCCTTTTCTCTAGCGTTCCTGAGCGTGTAGTGCTCTCCTTCCCGGCAGAGAGGGTGATGGGGACAGACACACGGGCCTGGGCTGGTAGCCCGAGGGCATGCTGGGACCTCCTTTTATCTATCGTCTCCAAAACCATTGTATGGCGCTCATGCAGACACCCTAGCTTTCCACAGTTCAGTCACACGAAGCAGTCCTGTCCAGTTGCTACCCCAGTCAGTTTCAAAACATTCTCTTCCTTCTTGAGCTCTTTGGCATCAGCTCCCCTTTACCTCCCCGCCCCGACTCTAGCCTGAAGAACCCTTACTCTACTTGCTGTCTCTATTGCTCTGCCCCCCTTGACTTGATCTCTGTTTTACGTTCTCTCCTGCAGTTTGCTATTGGCTCCCTGATGGACGATTACCTGGGTGAGTTGCCTGGCTTGCCTGCAGGGGCTGCTGCCTGAGATGGCGTGGGGGGCGGGGGAGCGGGGGCTGTGGGGTTGGTGCCCTGGCAGCTCTCTCGTCCTCTGCTCAGGAGACCCAGGGCACGTGTCCCTTGGCATGGGGAGCCCACAGAGGGGGCCACGCTCTGGGCCCACTCATGCACTTTTCCTGTTCTCACAGGACTCGTGAGCTGAGCACAGCACCTGCCTTTTCAGTCCTGATGGAGGAAGCAGGACTGTCGTATATCCCGTGTTGTGGGGAAGCCCAGATGCTCTGGGGGCAAACGCCAGAAGGTTCCATGCGGTCCAGAAGACGTCTGGCTCTGCTTCGAGCGTAGCTGCCACTCTCCGACCTTTCTGACTCTGTGTTTTCATAAATGGTTCCGAGTTGTCACAGAAGTGTTATCTCCTCCTTTGTAAGAACAAAAGTTCTTGTTCAAAGAGTCGGCGGCGGGATTAGGCTCTGCAGCCCCCTTTCCTCAGCCTGAGACCTCAGCCACACAGGGATCCAACTGAACCGCTTTCCAGGGCAAACGTTGACCTCCTTGAAGGGAAGACAGGAAGTCTGGCTTTTAGCCTCTGCTACCATCTAGTCCCAGAGTGTCCCCGCAGTCCCTGCCTTTGAAACTAACCAAGGGGCCTACCTGGGCAAGAGGGAAGAGGAGATGGTGGGCTCCCGCCACAGCCCTTCCTGGGTTGGGCACATACACCACACACACACACACACACACACACACACACACACACTGCCATTGAGTCATGTGAGCATGTCATGTGACAGCATAGGCTAATAGAAACAGTACTGTAGGCCTGTGACCGTGTTGAGCACTTTATAGATGACCTTCCAGAATCTTCACAGTGGTTCCAAGAACTAACATGCCTAGTTAGCATCACACAACTAGTGTATAGTAGCATGATTTTTTAAAAGGTGATTCCACGGGGCAGTTCTACTCTGCCTTATAAGGTCGGCGCCAGTCTGAATAGGCGTGAGGGCAGTGGGATTATGAACAAGTAGGATTCCTACTAGGTACGCAAGGATTGTTCAACATTAGAAAAACAATCACTGTACTTTATCGTGTAAAAACAGCAAAGGAAGAACAAAGTGATTCTCTGCAGGAATGAGGTGCTGTGTGCATGTGCCATTCTCATCCACCTGTGGCCACGTGGGTCTCACGACTGTCTGCCCCCGCCCTCTCTCAAATTGGGGCAAATGATGTCCAAACAGCCTGGGCACAGCTTCACTGCATCTAAAGAAGGACCCCCGACAGGAGCAAGCCTCCCTCTGTCCTTGGCCTCACCCCTCCAAGGTTGTCAGTGGCTGTCGATCAATAGCGCCTCCGTCAGGCTGCCGGCCAGAGCCTGCTGAGCTGGTCTCACCTGCCACCTTAGACGCGAGCTCCTTGGAGCCTTCTCTCAGGTGGGCAGACACTCAAGTGGTCAAGCATGCGCACCAACGACGCTTCACCAAAGGCCTGTGGGCACGACTGGGTGAGATGCATGCAGCAGGGCCAGGGAGGGAGGCTGGGGGTGGGGGTGGGTGTAGCCATGGTGACCCAGCCACTTCCACCTGCCACCCTGTGCAGGTCCCTGAGGACTTTCTTTTCCAGAAGCTGCAGCATCTAGTCCTCCTTGGAAGTAGGAGGGAGTGTGGTGATTCCCTAAAGAAAGCTCCTTCCCACAATGAATGGCCTTGCAAAGGACCCACCCCAGTGATGCACGGATACCGCTGCCTTCCTCCCAGCGTGTGACCAAAGGGGGGTGAGGCCTGCCGACTTCAGGTGCTTGCACAAACATTGTCTCCGTCAGTCCACAGGCATACAGGCACTTGGTAATCTTTCTTTAAAAAAAATCATTTTACTGCGGGCTCTTACAGCTCTTATCATGATCCATACGTACAACCATGTGTCAAGCACATTTGTACATATGTTGTCATCATCATTGCAGGACATTTTCTTTCTACTTGAGCCCTTGGTATCAGTTCATTTTTGCACACACACACACCCATCCTCTCTCCCTCCCTCCATCCCTCATGAACTCTTGATAATTTATCAATTATTTTTTTCATGTCTTACATCAACTGCTACCTCCCTTCACCCACGGTGTTAGTCTGGGTACTTTAGAGAAACAAATCCATGAATAAAATCTGATACACAGAAAAAAAAAAAGAAACAAATTCACAGAAACTCATGTAGAAGAGAGAGTTTTATATAAAGGTTATATAATATACTGCCCAAGCCCACGAGTCCAACATTAACTCATATGTCTAACACCAGTCCACAAAGTCCTCCTCCATCTCATAAATCAGACACAATGATGCCGCTGACTGCAGGAGGAAAACCGAGTCAGTGAACGTGTAAACATCTCAACGCTGGCAGGGTCTCCACACGGCTGCTCCAGCACCCAGGGGTGCATCACGGTAGGTCCATGTGGCTTCTCCTCAGGGATGTCTTGCAGGAAATGAGCCTTGCCAGCTAAAGCAGGGAACTGGCTAAGGCAGCTGAACCCTGGTCCATCAGAAAGCAAGAGACCCAAGGTGAGGCTCACTGAGCCATTTATCCCTCCACCCTTCAATTAACCTCACATGTGTTTATCAGCCAGGTTGGCACAGTAAACTAACTACCTCACCCAGTTTTCTGTAGTTCATCCCCCCTGGAGGGGTCATTATGATCAGTTTCCCCTTTCTCCTCCCTCTTTCCCCTTCCTGGTATCGCTACTCTCATTATTGGGCCTGAGGGATTTATCTGTCCTGGATTCTCTTGCGTTGTGAGCTCTTACCTGTACCCATGTACATGCTCTGGTCTAGCCGTCTTTGTAAGGTAGAATTGGGGTCATGATAGTGGGGTGTGGGGGGAAGCATTAAAGAACTAGAGGAA